TCGTGGTGGTGTTTATTTTGTTCTGGTCCTTAACTACCAGGTGCCACCACTCCCGTGGAATTATACCATGTCTATCTCTTTTCATCCTTACAACCACCTTGCACAGTGGGGATTAATGTCCCCTATTTCACAGGTAGCAAGTGACAGAGCCAGAATCTGAACTTCAGCTTTTGGATTCCAGGGTCATTGCCTTTCCCATTACACCTCAGCTCCAAGAGACTGCAAAAAAGGATGCTCAGTGAGGAAGCTAGTCAGGGCCCAGAAGCTGGAGTCTTGCTGCAAAACACTAAGATTTGTCTCCTGGGAATGGTCCCTCAGGTTTGTGGGACCCTTTCCATCAGATTACACTATCACCTCCTAAAATCTTAGTGGGCCTATGAAGAGACCGAAGCTTAGAGAGATGATATGCCTTCTCTAGGGTCTAAGAGTAGAAGGGGCAGAACTGGAACTAGAACCCAGGTCTCCTAACTCTGTCCTGTGCTTTTTCTACTCTATTAACTGAAAGGATTAGCAAGATTGGAGAAGCCCTCTCGCCTAGAAGTCCCTCCTCTTAAAAGAAAACCTTACAGTGTACAGAAAAGGAGATCCTAACATGCTAACATGCATATAACAAGTAGCTTAAAATTGCTGGTAATCAGAGACATGCACGTTAAAACAATGATATGAGATCCTTTACACCTATTGGACTTCCAGTGATTAAGAAGCTGGCTATTGCTAAGTGTTTGCTGGAGAGTGATACACAGGGAACTCCCCTGTCCTACCCTCCTGGTGGGAGGGTAGATGGAGCAGCTGTCCTGGAGCGGATCTTGGCACTATTAGTCAAATCAAGTAACGCAAACCGAAAAACCGTATCTCACTCTGAGTACATGCTCCAGGGCAATACTCACACAGGTCCAAAGGTCACATGTAAGAGGATGTTCTTTGAGCATTGCTCTTGTGGTCAGGAGATGGGAGAGCAGAGAGGGAAAATTTGGTTGGAAGTGCCCTGGAAAATTATGCAGCAGTTTAAAAAGTGGAACTGTTGTATACTTAACAGTATGAGCGTACCTTAAAGTACAATTATTTGTGAGGAAAAAGTAATAAACGAATATATATACACGCATACATGTAAAAGAAAAGCCTGGTTGGTTTAGATCCTGGAAAGTAAGAACGTCTATCTTGTCTCCTTGTCAGTTGCTAGCATATGGCTGGGCACAAAGTGTGTGAGTGCACATATTTGTTGAATAAATGAACAAAGGAGTTCCTGGAGCCAGCCTGGCTGACTTACCCAGGTGATCTTCTGTGACCGTGTCTCAGAACCCCTGGGTATTGGCCAACCTGCCATCACCAGCTTGAGACCAGAACACTTTGTTCCCTCAGAGGGACAGAAGTAGAGTAGGGTACCAGGCAGCAGCCATCCAGTATTGAATACCTACTGTATGCCAGGGATTGGTCCGCGATCACTGTAAATTAGAGATTATTGTCACTATTTGATAGGTGAGAAAACTTGAGTCTCATGGAGAATTGATTTGCTCAGGGTTATCCAGCTGGAGCAGAATTTGAATTCAGGTCCAACCTTACACCAAAGCCCTTCATTCATCCTTTTTGTTACACTGCACTCAACCCTCAAGGAGCAGGAGGAGGAGAAGGCATCTCAATCTTCTTTCTTCAGCCCTGTCTCCAGAGCAGTGCTGCTTCCAGAATTCTCTGTGCCCACCAGGCAGGGGAACATGGGTCTATGACCCACTGAAAGCATGAGGGATCCTGGCCGCGTTGTTTTTCCTAGCCATGCCCTGGTTTCTCACATCTCTGCCCTAGCTCATCTCCTTAGGTCTGTATTACAGCAGTCTCCAAACTGGTCTCCTTGTCCCCATTTTCTACTCTCTCCCCTTTCAAATTCAGCGTGCTTAAGCTATTACGTTAATTTTGAAATTTCTTTTGCCCGAAAACCTTCCATGACAACCCCACTGCCTATGGTGAGAGTCTAAGGAATGGCAAATAGGTTTCCTCTCTGTTGCCAGTGTCAGTTGATTGACAGTGGCTGATTGGAAACAGTGTTGAGGAGGATTCTGAGGCTCTTTCAAAGACTCCACAGGAAGGAACTGCTTGGAGAGGTTTGTGATTTCTGACTTAGATGCAGGAGTGCGGGACAGTGGCACACATGCCAGGCATTTGTCAACTCTTTAGATTGGGTTTGTAACCCAGGGTCCCCTGTGCATTTCATGAGGACCTGTGAGTCCCCGGACATTGTATATTTAAAAAAAGGGGGGAGGGGCGAGGGAGGGGAAGGTATGTGTGCTCCTGCGTCCTTTTTTGGAGAGAGTCATCAGCTTTGATCATACTTTTAAAGAAGCACATGGCTCAAAAAAAGTTTATGCCCACTGTCGTGGCCTCCTAGCTTGGGTTTTGAGGCCCTGTTGTAGGCCCTGCATACCTCAGCAGCGGTTTCTCGGCTGTGAACTGTCACCCAGATGGATCTACCTGATCTCTGAACATACCTTTCATTTGCTTCCCTCCTTCTGAATAGTATCCTATTCTGTTTGTCTTAACTGCATTATACTTTCTCCCTTGTCTCTAAACCGTTTCCCTTCTTCGAGGCAAAGTTCAAGTCTTTCCCTTCTCATGTCTCTTTAATTTGGTCCTGATACTCTAGTCTTCTGGACTGAGGATCAAAGAAGTGAGGCCGTCTGCCAGGATCACCGTTAGGATCAGCACTCCAGTCTCTTAGTTCTTAGAACCCTGTGCTCTCCACAGCACCCCTTGGCCTGCAGACCAGGGAAGGTATGTCAATTAGGAAGGAGATTTTGTGCAAAAAGCAATTTTTGGTCTCATAGAAAATTCATCCCCAGGTTTTTTTTTAGCTTCTTTAACATTCTTAGCCATATAAAATTGTTCCTCCACAAAAGAAACTTAACAGTGTATGTGGTAAGAGGTATAGAAATCCTCCAGACTAGACATGAGAGATGAGGGTTTCCCAGCCTCCTGTCCTGACACTCTCCCCTTACATTTTGTGCCTTAGTCATGCCAACCCTCTTTCAGGCCTTCATATACCCCATGCTGTCTTCTTCAGGAGAGAGGCTTCACAACTCTGCCTGGAACACCTCTTCCCCTCCCTCACCCCCTTTTTTTCTGGCTAACTTCATATTATCACCTCCTCAGAGAGACCTCCGGATCACTAAAACTGGGCTAGGCTCCCTGGTTGTGCCCTCACCCAATGTACAGGTATGTGCTTGTTGGCCTGTCTCCCCCCTCAGGCTTTGTGTCTTTTCATCCTCCCAAAGCTTAGTCACCTGCTTACCTATTAAACAGCACAGAGGTTTTATTTGGCTTTTATTCAGAGGGGTATTTCCTACATAAGAATGGTACTAGGACTCATCCCCAAGCCTCTGGACTTTCTGCCAGTGCCCTTTCATCTAGAACCCCTGAAGAGTAGATACCCTCCCGGTTCCTCCAACACCCTCCCCTGCCTATTCTTCATAAGCAGACCTGCCTTGTTGGTGAATCACTCTTGACTTTTGGTCTCCCCCTTTCCTGGCCTTCTCTAGCATTTCTGGTGGGAAGCCAAACACTACAGGTTTTGGTTCCTGCTCTCCTGAGTCCTTTCCCACAGCTAAATTAGGTACTTCCCTAGGGTGTAGCTAATTTACGCCATGCCTTCTCCTCATCCCCATTCTAGAATCTAGCACAGGACCCAGCACATACTGTGGATTTGTTGAAGTCAAGTTAGTCTTTCGTCTTCCATGTGACATGGATCCAGATTTAGACTAGAGGAAGGGAGGTGAGGTGAAAAGCATTCAGGCTGTTAGAGCCGTTATCCACCTGGGTTCCAGTCACTGTATTGTCTCTTTGCTAGTTTTGTGACCTTCATCAAGTCATTTCACCTCACTGAGCTTGTTACCTTATCCATGAAGATAAATTAGTATCAACTCCTTAAGCTTGTACAAAGAGTAAATGAGAACATGTATGTAAAGTTCTGAGGATAGTTTCTACTTGTAGCAGGTGCTCAGTAAGAGTGCATTCTGTTTACTCCCCTTCTCTCTATTGACTTGCACAGGCCCTCTTCCCAGCACCCAGAATTCAGGCTTTTAGTGGTATACTTAAAACCTCTCTTTGTTCATTTGTCCAACAACTGTTGCACCCCTGTAATGTGCTAGGCAGTGGCACATAGAGTCAAATAGGCTCATGTGGACTCTTCTAGAAAACCAATTTAGCATTTCTAACATTGTTTCCATCTTTCCTTGGGTTAAAAGGTTTCCGGTTTTCAAAGAGCCACCATACAGATAAACTTGAAGAGTGTAATCCTTTCGTAGAGTAGGAACTACCTAGATAAGAAATATCCCGGGGCCCTGGCTGGTGTGACTCAGTGGATTAAGTGCTGGCCAGCAAACCAAAGGGTCACCGGTTTGGTTCCTGGTCAGCGTACATGCCAGCATTGTGGACCAAGTGCAAGAGGCAACCAAGCGACGTTTTTCTCTCTCACCATTGTTTTTCTCTCACTCTTTCTCCCTCCCTTCTCCTCTCTGAAAATAGATAAATAAAAAGTATTTTTTAAACAAAAAGTATCCCTGGGTATTTGGTGCTAAGCACAAGGAAATTCTAAGGAAGAAAGAGAGATCTGTGGACTGGATGATTCAAGGAAGCCTTCTTCAGGGAGACTCCTCAAACTAGGATTGTGTCCCATGGCATGACAGTAGGATTAGAATAGGCAGCAGAGGCAGGAGCATTCTGGACTGAGGGAGTAGGAGTGTCAGGGTATTAAGGCAGGAAAGGCACATTTTTTTCCCCTCACAAGGCTGGGAGGATAATAGCAAGGGGCAGGCTCATTTAAGGGAAGGAGGGAGAGAGGCAGGGGAAACTTGGGGTTGGGGAAACTGGCCAGAGATGCTGAGATGGGTGTTTAGTTCTCAAAGGCCGTTAACTATTTCTAGGATCATCCAGCCCCCTATTTGTTGACTGTCTCATTTCTTCCACTCTTAGGTCCATGATAAGCCACACACTGAAAACATTCCTCTGTCTTCTAGGCTGTTGGCCGATGGTGCAGACGTCAATGCAAGGCACAGGCTTGGCTGGACAGCACTTATGGTGGCAGCCATCAGCCGAAACTACAGGTGAGAGATCTCCTTCTATACAGGGCACCCTTAGCCAGATCTCTTCAGATCACATTCATGAATCCTCTCCCACCCTTGCCTGTCACCCTGCTGTCTTCTCCAGAGGCAGGGAGATGAACTCAGCCTAAGGTACCAGTCTATACCCAGTGCAATGGAAAGTATAGGAGATGTGGAGAGAGGTGTAGCTGTGGATCTCAGCTCCATCATTCATTGGCTGTGTGACCTTAGGCGAGTCATTTGCATTATTGAAGCAATGAAATGTTTGAAAGCCTGTCATAAATGATTAAGTGTACTTGTGTGAATTATCATCATGTTTTCATTATCTACCATCTGTGTGTGTTGAAAAGTCTGCAGTCACTGTCCCTAGGAAGGGCTTGTCTGTGCTATTTCTTTGGAGGTTCTGATGGGAATAAGGGAAGGTGGGTGCATTCCTGCTCTCCCAATGGAGGCCCTGCTATTTTCCTACCTGCTTGCCCATTTCCTCAGGGTGAAGCTGTTGTGTAAAGATCAAAGTAGTCCACTTTGTGTAGAGAGTTATCGTTAATTCTCACAACCACCTACAATATATATGTTGTTATTCTCATCTCGCAGGTGAGAAAACTGAAGACAAAAGAGGTAAAGTGATTTGTCTAAGGTCACACAGACAGGATTTAAGGCCTGGTCTGGCTGTCTTCCAACACAAAGTTCGTGTGTTTTACTGCTGCCTTCCTCTGCCAGATCCCAGGCTAGTGCTGGATGCTGTGATTGTGCAAAAGAATTGACTAAATAAGAGCAAAAAGAAATGCATTCAAAGAAAATAGACTGGGCACTTTAGTAGTAGCCACTGAAATTGATAGCAGGATGTACCAATTTAAATTTTTCCTTCAAGCAGATTTTTGAAGCTTTAATCTGCCAGTCCTAGCCACCTTTGAAAGGGTCATAAATGTGATGGAAACCAACATAGAGGGATTATAATGTATGGGTGGCACTGCCTCAGACTGCCTGAGAGACTTAGCAGTACTCTTCTCTCATCTTCTATCATGGACTTATTCTCAGCACTCCATTTCCTATATGCCTCTTTAGCTCCTAGCACTCAGGCCTTTTTTTTTTTTTTTTAATTGATTTTAGAGAGAGAGGAAGGAAGAGAGAGAAAGGGAGAAACATCAATTTGTTGTTCCACTTATTTATGCACTCATTGGTTGCTTCTGGTATGTGCCCTGACCAGAGATCAAACCTGCAACCTTGGTGTACTGGGACAACACTCTTAACCAGCTGAACTACCCAGCTGGGGCAAGCACTTAGTCTTTAGAAGAAAAAATTGATGTAAATGGACTTTGCAGTTAAGAGACGTGGGGTCTAGTCATGGTTCTGACCCTTAGTTGAGTTTCAGAATTCTATGGCACCATTTCTTCACCTGAAATTAATTATTTCTACAAATATTTGGTAAATATTTACTCTGAGCCGGGCTCTGTGCTAATCAGAGGAGAATGAGAGACCTTGGGAACTTGTGGCCTAATGTGGAAAAGAAAGGCAGGTAGAGAGAACGTAGTGTGGTCAATGATGTCAGAGCACTGCGGACAGGATGTTTTCAAAGCAGAGGGTATGAGAGGACTGAATTTGGCAGCAGAGTAGATTCTCTCTATATGCTTGTGAGAATGAAATGAGATAATATATGTGCAAGAGGTTACAAATTGTAAGTTATTCTATTCTGCTCACATTAGACCTCTCTAACCTAAGTACCCGTTTATTCTACCACTGATAACCTACCCACCACTACTTCCACCCTACCCACCAGTCTTCTTTCCCAGCTTACAGGTGTCTCCATCTGCAAGAGACAGCCAGTGGTTGAGAAAGCAGGGTAAGGGGAGGGTACCCTTATATGCAGTGTGTTTTCAGTATTGAGACAATTGGAAATAACACTATACTTAAGAGTTCTGCCGATCAGTGAGTAGGTAGCTTTCTCAATCTAATGAGTTGTTGGTTTAACTGATTGCCTGTCTTTATCCAGAGCCATTAGCAAATTAGTGATGCTTGTTGAGCAAAGTGAGAGTGTTGGCTTGTATTTATTTGCTTTGGTTCCTAGGACTAATTATTGGTGTAGTAAGCATCCATTTTGTGTCATCATCTTTCTTCAAGTACCCAAGAAAGACAGATTTTTAGTGAAAATAGCCTACTGTCAAGTTGGTGTATTTATTCACATCACAAATTTGGTGGGGGGCGGGGGGAGGCACCTACTGTTTGCCAGGCACTGTTTTTGACAAAGATCTCCACCCTCTTAGAGTTTATTTCTATACAGATGGTGGTCCCTGAGTAGAGGCAGAGACAAACAATAAACAAATACAGTAAATCACAAACTAAGTAAACTACATGAAATATTAGAAGATAAGATATGCTATGGAAAAAAGGAAAAGTAGAATCTGGTAAAAGAGAATCTCAGGAGAACCTTAGTTGGGGTGAGTAGCCCCATGGGTAAGGTGCCTTGGGGGTAGTCCTGAAGAATTATCACGTCCATACCAGCACAATCTGCCAATAAGTTTCTCCTTATTAGAAGTGTACTGATTCTCATCTAATCATATTCACCAAACACTCTGGTATAATGTTGGCTAGGCCTGAAATGCCACCACCTTTTAATTGGATTTGGATAAAGGGAACGTAGAGGGATAGCACCCCTTGATTCAAGGTTGAAAACAGAAATTCTTCATCTCCTTTAGAATGTTGGCAGTCCTAGATCAAAAGAGAGATCTTAAGAGTAGCCCAGTCATTTCATCCTCAACTGCCTTTAGTGAGCACTTGCTTAATGTGTTAGACCCTTAGGGACATAGAACAAAATAGTCTCTATTCTTAAGGAGACTAACTTCTTGTGAGCTTTTACTTATATGTATTTATTATTTGATTTTGAATAATAAAGCTAGTACTATTTTATTCAATTTTGAATAAGAAATATGGCACTATAGAACAAAAATTTTAAAAGTCTGTATGAGAACTTAATTTATAATTTATGTCTTCCTTTTATTTCCAAAAAGGGTTTGAGGTGACGTAAATTAAAATACAAATATAAATGTACACAGGAGAGTTAAAACTGGATCCAGATCAGAAATCATATTGGTAAAAGGAAAGATAATTATATCAGGATTGAACCAGAGTTTCTCTTTTCCAAAAATAGGTTTATTGTTTTTTGTAAAAATAATATAGAGAAGAAAGTAGCCATGAACTGAATTCCCTCTATCTAGAAACCAGTCATTGCATGTGTATGTGTATAATTTTACATAAATGGGATCATGTTGTACTCACTGTAAATCAGGTAATTAGTGGAATGAAGTATTAATTTGGATTGAAATTTCCCAATGAGCACGGCAAACAAGGGATATAGAAAGTTTTGTTTCTTCAGAAGAGGAGAACTTTGTTCTGACATTCTTTCATATTATCATTTCATGCATCCAGCAAACATTTTTCAAACTATACTGTGTCAGGCACTGATGTGCCAGGCTGTGAGGAGATTCAGAAAATAAGCATCACAGCCTTTGCCTTAAGAAGCTTACTTAGACTGCTGACATCAAGGACTTGAGTAATGTCCTTGTCTTCAGTAGCCTTTCTGCCAAAGATTAACCAACATTCTACTAGGAAAATTCTTTTGCCAGCTCTAGTAACAGGCGGGGCGTAGTCTTGACTTGAGGAGCAGTTACTGGGGGCTGGGCTCCTCTCTGCAGTGATCCTTCCATAAGCCTCATGCCACAGGCACTTGTTTAGCCTGAATCTGGGTGCCTCATTCTGTGTTGTACTCTGACCCAGTCCAGCTAAAGGCTAAGACACAGGGTCCCAGGATGATCACTGTGACTTAGCATAGCCTTTACTGGCTCGTGCAAATATACCCAGCCTTCAGCTAAATTCAATTAGTTTTTCTTCAAGAAGGGAAAGAAATCCAATTTTACCAAACATGGACAGACGGTGGAAGGCACTTTGATGTTACAACCTCTCAGTGATGCTTTACTTAGTCACAAGTTCATAAGCAAGAAGGCTTAATTACTTGGGAAAACACAGGATTAAAACCGGACACAATGGCTGAGTATCCGCTCTTGGGTGACTTGATTCGAACCCATGCACCCAGTTCGTGTGTGGTGCAAACTTTGATGTGCGCTATGACAACCTGAAAGTCATGACCCCCCTTAGGGAAGCTCCTTCATATGGCATTTGCAGGATATGTAGGCGGAGAGACAGGGCCTGCCAGGCCTGTTTGCTCAACTTTGATGTCCAAGCAGCCACAGGCCCCACTGTTTGCTCTTTCACTGAGGGATGGATTTGGAGCCTCCTACCTTTCCCAGTGGACAATGGTCAGCAATGGAGTGTGACGACAGTTGACCATTCCAGGAGCCTGGCGGACCAGAACAGGACTTGGGAGGCGCAGAGTCTGGGAGGCCAAGAGCTGTTTATAGGACAGCCATTTCTCCAGATGTAGCTTTCCCTGGAGCCTAATGTTGGTTGGGTGCTTACAGTGGAGGTAAAAATAGTATTACGAATTTTAGCAGGTACTGCTTGATGCTCTCTCTAGTGACACTAAGGTATTTGTAAATTGAAAATTTAAGTCTTTCCTGTCACCTTCATCAGTGTACATGCAGGGGATAGTGGTCTAAAAGAAAAATGGTATGATTTAGATCCTTATAATTTCTAATTCCTCAAAAAAAAAAAAAACTGTCAAAACACATGTCTGATAAAGGAATAGTATCCAGAAGATATAAAGAACTCTTATAAATTAGGAAAGGACAGACAACTGAGTTTTTAAAAACTGGGCAAAAGATTTGAGCGGACACTACCAAAAAAGAGACGGATAGTAGATAAGCACATGAAAAGATATTCAGCATTAGTCATTTATGAAAATGCAAATTAAAATCATAATGAGATGCCACTATATACTTATTAACTACAATGGCTAAAATTTAGAAAAACTGACAATACAAAGTGCTGAAAAAGTTATAGAACAATTGCAACATTGCCAATAGGGGTGCATGATGGTATAGCCACTTTGG